CAGAAGATGGTCCACACAGAAACAAGACATCACAGAAGACAGTCCACACAGAAACAAGTACCACAGAAGATCCACACAGAAACAAGACACCACAGGAGACAGTCCACACAGAAACAAGCATGACAGAAGACAGTCCACACAGAAACAAGACATCACAGGAGACAGTCCACACAGAAACAAGCATGACAGAAGACAGTCCACACAGAAATAAGACATCACAGGAGACAGTCCATACTGAAGCAAGTACCACAGAAGATGGTCCACACAGAAACAAGACATCACAGGAGACAGTCCACACAGAAACAAGCACCACAGAAGATGGTTCACATAGCTCCCCGGCCAGTGGGGGAAGGGATTGCCTGGTGTGATAGCCTGAGTTGATCCCTGGACCCCCCATGGTAGAACAAGAGAACCTACTCCTGCCATGTTGTCCTCTGACCTCCACACATGTAGTGATTCTGTGTGTGTGCATACACACATGGATAGATACATTAAAATACAAAACAAACGAACATAAACCCCAGGGCCCTGCTGCCTTTCCCTCTGCCCTGGTAGCAGTGCTGTCCCTCCTCGGCCTCTAGCTGTGACCTGCTTGTTGGACATCTCCTATGGGGAGAATCACACTCTGTGTAGTTTTGCGTGTGGCTTCTTTCTTTGCTTAAACTTTCAATGTACACCCGTGTAGTCATTCTTTTCACAGCTCACTCAAAACGCACTGTGAGAACACACCACGTCCCTTACTCACAGGAGACACACTCGGGCTCCTGCTCTGCTCTGAGGACGCATGCCATGCGAATGCTCTCATGTACTGTAGGCAAGTGCTCCACACCTGAGCCACAGCCCAGCCTCAGTCGCTCTCCCCTTGCTGCCCACACCACTGCGACTGCTTGTGTCCTCCCCACTCCTGACAGTCCTCCTCTGCCAGGCAGACTCAGACCCTCATGCATGCCGAGTGGGTCCTGTGCCACTGGCCCGGGGCTCCAACCTTCCTAACACTGCAGCCTTTTACTATGGCTCCTCATGTTGTGGGGACCCCCGACCATAAAATGATTTTCATTGCTACATCATAACTGTAATCTTCCTACCACTATGAATTAGAATGTAAACATCTGTTTGCCGATGGCCTCAGGCCGCTCCTGTGAAAGGGTTGTTCGACCCCCGAGGGTTCGAGACCCACAGGCTGAGAACCTCTGCTCTGGCCTGTCTTTCTGTTGCCTTCCTGGATAAGAAGTGGCATCTCGCTGACACTCGGCCGCACCTGCCCTTCCTGCCCATGGCTCTCCAGGGCCCACTGCTGCTCCCCAGAGACACCAGTCCTGTCCCTTCTGACCCACATGCCCGTGTGACACAAACTCAGGAAACTACACCCTGCAGAGCACGCTCACCCCAAATACAAGGTGTTCGGGAAGCGCACCAAGTCAAACCCAGACAACTCCCTCCCTACAGTGTCGAGGAAGCAAACGAGGCTCACATGGACTCCTCCTTTGGGGCGGCCCTGGCCAGGCCTTCCTGCTCCTTCCTCTTGTCCACAGCCTGGGCTTGCTTTTCGATCTCAGTGAAGGATGCGTTCGTCAGCTTCTGGGCTCCCAAGCTTCCTTTTTTGGCTCCAAGCTGGAACATATGTAAGATTTTATTCTACCCAGAGTTAAAACCTGAAACTGCGGCTGTTTACTCTCAGATCCCCGGCCTGCCGGGCCTGTGACAAGCATTGCCTTGGTCCCCTCTGTGAGGCTGGCAGTCTGAAGGAAGCACATAGGATTCATGGGATTCAAGGCAGGAGCCAGGACCGCCTAGTGAGGAGAGCAGGGGAAGTGGGGGTGCTCCCACCCGACCCCTGCCTGCAGGGGGGACACTGCGGCAGTGGCAGAATGGAGAATTCTTCATAAAACTACCCTCTGGTCCTCACAGGACAGAGATGTCCCTCAGAGTCTCCGGCAGGAGGGAACTCTCAGGGCATCTCAGCTGCAGGTTTTTCCATTTGGTCACAGACAGAAAAAAAGGTTTTCTCAAAATACCAAGTATAATACTCATTGAACAGAAAAGCCACATTTATTATATTATGGCTCAAAATAAGTGAGAACACTCTCTGATTAGGGTGAGATAGGATCCCAACACAGCTTTTTTATTTTTCTTTCTTTCTTTTCTTTTTTAAGACAGGGTCTCACTATGTACCCCTGGCTGGCCTGGAACACACTCTGTAGACCAGGCTGGCCTCCAACTCACAGAGATCCACCTGCCTCTGTCTCCTGAATGCCGGAATTAAAGACCTGTACCACCATACTGGTTTATGAAAGCCAGTACCATGTGCAATGAGTATATCCAGTTAAAAACAAAGCACAGGAGAAAACCGATCTCTAGTTTTAGAGCCCGCTCCTGTATTTTTTACATAATATAATACTCACTCCTTTTTTTGCTTGATTTGGTTTCTTTTTTATAATAGATGAAACTTCTGTCAAAAATAAATAAATAATAAAGAGTCAGAAGGTGGAAATCATACATCATTTTCCTAGTCTAGTGTGTCTTATAAATAAGATGCCTTGTCTATGGTCTAGAAAACTCGAGTCTCGGCATGTTTTCAGGTTGCCAGCACTTCATCAGTATGGAGTCAGGGTACGACTGTACACCACCCCAACTCAGAGCTCTGAGTTCCACACTAGAGAAACAGAGTCTGAGCTTGTCCCAGGACCCACTTTTCCACAAGTATTTAAAAACACTCTTCTGTGAGATGGTTCAGTGAGTAAAGGTGGTTGCTGCCAAGTCTGATGACCTGAGTTCGAATCCAGGACCCATATGGTCCTGCAAGTTGTCCTCTGATCTCCATACACATGCCATAACATGTACCCCACTCCGCAGATAAATAAAATGTAGTAAAAATAATTTTAAAAGGAAAAACCTCTCCTATTGAATTATATGCATCAAGCACAGCTGTCACCCAGGTGAGAAGAGGCCTGGGCTTGGGGTCCTTTCTCTGTGTGACATAGCTGGGTGTCAACCCTTCAACACTTATTATTCTGCTCCCCCATATCTGCAAGGTCCCTGGACCCCTTTCTTGGGGGAACCATTTTTATCAAACTTCCTTATCAGACCTAAAGAGCTGTGACACTCAAAGACTAGATGGTTATGTTATGTTCCAAAGCACCTGAGAATCCAAAAGTCCTTCTCTCAAACAGGTGAGAACACGTGACCTCCTGATGCCTGACATAGAAATCCAACACCCTTAAATAAACAGTCTGCACAGATACAGATTGGACGTGCCTGTTGTTTTGCTTTCAGAGTCCCTCTCCAGGAGGGTCCACTGCTCCAGCCTGACCGCAGCAGGACAGTGCTGTACATTTCAAGCTGCCGCTGACCAAAGTGCCTTTGCTCTGCGGCTCTCCCCCAGGGCCACCATTTACAGGCCTTCTCATTTACTCACTCTCCAAGAGGCAGCTGAGACTTCCTTTATCTTTCTCAGCAGAGAAGCCAGCCTGCTCCTGTGGTTCCCTTTTCCATTTTATGTGTGGGTGATGGCCTGCACGGATACCTGTGTACCATCTGTGTGCCTGGTGCTCACAGGGGCCAGCAGAAGGCATCTGATCATCCGAGATTAGGGGGACAGACTGGGAACTGAACCCAGGTCTTCTGCAAGAGTAGCCAGCGATCTCACCGCCGGGTCACCTCTCCAGCCAGCCCGTTCCCGGCATGCCTTCTCTGCCTCCTGACGTCTGTTGCTACCTTGACCTTGTTTGCTATCTGTGGGCCCTGGAAGCGCTGCCCCACCCCGTGCCGTCTAAGATCTGTCCAGCCCTGGGCTCCAGCGACATTCTGTGATGGGTTTGGCCACCTCTGTCATTTGCTCCCAGGTGACGCTGCCAGGGATGACAGTGAGAGCCTGGCATCCCTCCAACTTCAACCTTCAGACCACTCCTCTGTGATTAAAAACCATGGCTCTCTGGCCCCAACTCCGGCAGACTTGGGTCATTCTGTGCAGCTTCATCCGGTTAAGGAGAGGACTGCAGTGTCTGGGGCAGGGAAGCCCCCAGAGCTGGGCTAGTGTGCCAGGTCATGACCTCAGGCAATGATCCCCACGCCCGTCAAGATCCTTTCCTCTACTCCAGTCCCCGACACCCAGGCAGTGACTGCACCCATCTTTGGTTTTCTTTTTTTTCAAGTTTTGGTACTGGGGAGTGAACCAGGGCTGCAGGAGTACTAAGCAAGCACCCTACTCCTGAGCACATCCCTGCTCCTTTCTCTCTGTGTTATTATTATTCCATTTATGGTTTTGTTACTAGGGTTAGAACACAAGGCCTTATATATGCTAGGTAAGTGCTCTGTCACCAAGTTATAAAAACACATTCTTGCCAGGCAGTGGTGGACTACATCTTTAATTGCAGCACTTGGGAGGCAGAGGCAGATGGATCTCTGTGAGTTCGAGGCCAGTGTGGTCTACAGAGAGAGTTCTAGGATGGCCAGAACTACACAAAGAATCTCTGTTTTGAAAAACAAAAAACAAAAACCCAAAACATATTCTTACTATCATCTTCATCTCCATCACCATCATCACCATCATCACCATCATCACCATCATCATCACCACCATCACCATCATCACCATCATCATCACCATCACCACCATCATCATCACCATCACCATCACCATCACCATCACCACCATCACCATCATCATCACCACCATCACCATCATTACCATCATCACCACCATCACCACTGCTTGGTGCTGCCGGCAATCACTCCTAGGGCTTCGACAGTAGGCAAGTGCTCTACCACTGAGGTAGCATCAGCTTCTTAAAAACAGGAAACTGGAGGCTGGAGAGATGGCTCAGTGGTTACTAGCACTGGCTGCTCTTGCAGAGGACCTGGGTTCGAATCCCTGCACCCACATGGTGGCTCACACCCATTTGTAACTCTAGTTCCAGAGGATCTGACCCTTTTTCTGGCCTCTGTAGGCTTCTGCATGCATACAGTGCACAGACATACATGCAGGCCAAATACCCAGACACATAAAATTAAATGCATAGATACTAAAAAAAAAAATAAAGTCAAAAACAGGAAATGGCCCAACACTGTGCTGTAACTAAAGCCTGGGCTGGGCTTTTCCTACTGACTTATACACAGATCTTATCATTCAGCCACTGAGATACAAGAAGTATCTTGTGATTTATAAATTTCACAAAAATACATGCTTTATAGCATTTCTTTAAAATATCACTTCTGAGGTTTGGTTTTGGTTTTGTTGTTGTTGTTTTTGTTGTTTTGTTTTGTTTTTTCAGGACAGAGTTTCTCTGTGTAGACCTGGCTACCCTGGAACTCACTCTGTAGACCAGGCTAGCTTTGAACTCACAGGGATCCACCTGCCTCTGCCTCCTGAGTGCTGAGATTAAAAGCGTGTACCACCACTGCCCAGCTTTTCTGAGTCATTTTCAATACACAGTTATATATTCTGGTTTTAGAACTATGTTTTGGCGACCCAGGGAGAATAAAGCCTTGGGCTGGGGGTACAACTCGGTGGTAAGAGCCCTTGCCTAGTATACATGAAGCCCTGGTTCCACTCGCTTGCACGCACGCCTTTATAGTGGG